CTTTCAACTATAGTACTTCATGTTTCATGTGCATTTTACATATTGTTTCTGTACTTTTGTGCAGTCCTTACTTTTAGTATAAAGATTGTAATAGCTTCAGGAAGTGAGTTTTGAGTATTTATTATTTCTGGAATAACTTTTCTTGGAAAGTGTTTTAGGTGAAGGCGGCTTTTTTTTATTTCCTTTTCAAATTCTCACGGTTATTTATGTTTTCTTGCCTCTTGTTTCTTATGCCAATTTATTCCTTTTGCATTACTCAAGAAATTATGCATTTGAGGTCATTTAATTTATTGACAGGTACTCTTTGGGGAGTGGTTACTGGGGGTTGAATTTGGAAACTTTTACCCCTGAGCTACATTCCCAGCCCTTTTAAGTATTTACTCTCATTCAATAGATTGTCTTCACTGTCTTGGTGTTTCTTAAGACAGGATCTGGCTAAGTTGCTTAAGGTCTTGCTAAGTTTCTGCAGCTGGCCTTGAACCTGCAATCCTCCTTTATCAACCTCCCAAATCACTGGTATAACAGCTCTTGCTGCCACTGAGTTGCCTTTTTAAAAAACTTTTTCCTGTAGCTCTTTCTCCTTTTACATGTAGCATTTTGTTAGTCACTTTTCTGTCACTATAACAAATATAACCTGAGATAACCAACTTATAAAGAGAAAAGTTTTTATATTTGCTCATATTTTTGAAGGTTCCTATTTATGATTAGTTGGCCCTTTTGACTTTTGGGCTCTGGTAAGGAAGCACATCATGGCAGAAATGTAGAAAAGCCATATTGCTTACTTCACATGACCAGAAAGTGAAAGAGAAGCAAAGAGGATTGGGATTCCAAGGACCCCTTCAAGGGCAAACTTCCAGTGACCTAAAGACAACCAACACTAGGCCCTAGCTCCTAAGTGTTTCACCACATACCAATATTGCCATCCTGGTCATCAGTGTTTTTAACACATGGGCCTTTGGGGGACACCCAAAAAATAAACTTATAACATTTACCTCCTCATCGTCAGTGTTGTTTGAGGACCCTTTCAACAAAATAGAGATTATGAATTCATTCTCTAGAGTCATTCCATTTATCGCTTCCAGAATTTTACCAGCTATGTGACTACTGGCAAGTTCTATAACTATTCTGTGCCTCTGTTTCCTCAATTGCAAAGTGGGTATAAACATAGTACCTATGAAGATCAGTAGAAGTAGAGGAAGGGACCAGGGGTGGGATGCAGGGAGGAAGTAGGCAAGTGCTAGAAAGTGTTATTGGCAAATTATATTGTTATATTGTGTGCATATGTACAACAACAAATCTCATCATCATGTATACCTGTAATGCACCAATAAAAAATATGGGGAAAAAAGATAGTCCCTATGTCAGGGTGTTGTTGAAAGAATAAAATGGGTTAATATATTTTTTAAAAAGCATTTAGAATAGTCTCTGGCACTGAGTAGATATTCTGTTAATACTGTTTGCAAATAGTCACAATGGAAACCTTTTCTAAGAATCAAGTTTTGGTTCTTCATTTTGTTATCTACCATTAATTTTTTTGTTGTTATTTTCTCTTACTCTTTTCTTGTGTTGGGTACTCTGAAAAAAAAAAAAAGCTAATATAACTACATTAGATATAGCCTACAAAGTATAATTTTCTTACTACTTTTAGCTGACTTGTTAAGAGTTGCTTATCACTGTCATTCTGAACAAGTCAGATTCCCCAGCACATTTTCATCTCTTAATATTCCCTAACTATACTCCATTTCTCTCCATGTTGGTATTCTCTAGAACTTTTATTCTGGATTGTTAGAGATATATTTTACTACCTTTAAAAATGTATTTCCTCTCCGGTCATGGTTGTGCATGCCTGTAATCCCATCGGCTTGGGAGGCTGAGGCAGGAGGATCCCAAGTTCAAAGCCAGCCTAAGCTTTTAGCATAAGAGGCTCTTTTCAGAGGATCTGGATATATGTCTCAGGGGTTAAACACCGCAGGTTTGGTTTCCAGTAACCCCTATCCCCAACAAAAAAATTGCTCGTTACTTACTTGCACATTGTATTAGCTATTCTCCTTTATTTCTCATAATTTCAGATATGAATTCTCTTGGAATTTATTTCCTTCCTTGCTAGTGTTTTTCAAAAAAGGTCTTTGGCTTGATAAGTCTTTTGAGTTATTGTATGCCTATAGCTATCTTTATTTTATTATAATAAAATGATATTTCAGTTATGTGAAAAGCATAAAGTTTAAAATTTTTAGTTTCTTTTAAAACTGTCTTCCTATGTGTTTGGTTTCTGGTGTTGCTGTTGAAAACTGACTTATTCAGTTGAAAGTGAGATCCATACTTCCTTTTTAGAAACTTTTGGGTTTGTTTCTAGTGTTTTTCAGTTTTACTATAGTGTGTCTAGCTGTGAGAGTTGTCTTCGATATCCTTTTTTCACTTTTGGAGCTATTTCAATGTGAATTATCTTTAATTTTAAGAAGATCTTAAGTCTTTTTATCTTCTGTTTATTTTTTCCTTTTTATTTTCCTCACACTCTTATGGCATACATATTGGCATTTCTTCTAAATTTTATTTTCTATTTTCTCTTATCACCCTGAAATTCTGGCCCGGTCCTCCAACTTAACTAATGTGTTCTTCAACTGCTAAACCTAATTCATTTTTCCAATCCATCAATAGCTTTTCCAGTCCAACAACACCTAATAATTTTTTAAACTAGGAATTTCCAGTTGGGTTTTTCTTTATAACAGTTTTCCTGCTTCATCTTATAAGTAGTTTTTCTCTTTTTTTAAAAGGATTTATTATATGATATGTCAAGAAATTTGTAATGTTTTGAACAACCCACAATAAAAAATTTAAAAAAAAAAAAGGATTTATTATAACTCATTTTAAATCCTTAATTTGTCTGGTTCAAAAATCTGCTTCTGGGCTGGGGTTGTGGCTCAGCAGTAGAGTGCTTGCCTTGCATGTGCGAAACTCTGGGTTCGATCCTCAGCACCACATACAAACATAAACAAGTGAAATAAAGGTATTATGTCCAACTACAACTAAAAAATAAATATTAAAAAAAATCTGCTTCTACTATAAATTCAGTTTGTTGTCTCTTAAGACTTATCTTCCTAAAGAATGAGTCACTGCCTTGTCATTTCAGGTTTTTGTTTGTTTGTTTGTTTTATGTTGGTTTTGTTTGTTTGTTGCTGTTTTCCCAAGGATAACTAGTAAATATTTTCATTCAGATAAGTTTGTAAGTTGGACTTGAAGTTATCTAAATTTAACAAGCTATGTCAATGCTTTTTTTTTTAAATCAAGAATAAAATGTTTTCCCTCAGTAACTTGCTCAACTCAGTTCACAGTAAAACTTTGAAATTTACAGAGAAGAAGGCAATAATTTTTTTTTAAAAAGTAGGTCTATATTTCTACCCTATTTCAGATTATTTGGAAAGTGATAATTTGTGAGTTATCACTGAATGGGCTGTAGTTATCTGGCTTTTGGGCAGTGGAGGTAAGAATAATTTCTTTTGCCACCATTAAGAAGGACAGATTGTTTTTTCATTACACAAGACCTTGGCATTGCAGTTTTGTGTGCTTCTTTCTTTTGATGTTTTAAATCCTTAGAAGCATCTGCAGCATTATGTATGTTCTGTTAGCCAGGTTTATTTTATTTTATTTTTTTGTAGTTGTAGGTGAACAGAATGCCTTTATTTTATTTTTTTTTATGTGGTGCTGAGGATCGAACCCAGTGCCTCATGCATACTAGGCAAGCGCTCTGCCGCTGAGCTACAGCCCCAGCCCAGCCAGATTTATTTTAAAACTAATTTAGTATGTAAGAGTCTTCATGGTTAAGAAGTAAATTATAGGAATATAGTTTAGCTATATATACTTTACTTATTAATTGAGCTTTTAATTGACTGTTGTAGGTCAACATTGATTATTAAACACACTGCCTGGATATATCATACCTTTATAACTCATATATATATATCAGGTCAACTGTTCTGGAATAGAACATATTCTTTGCCTTGCTAAGCCCTGTGCATGCCCTCAGAACTCTCTCAGCACATATTTCAGGAAGCTAGTTAAAGTTAGCACTGTAGATATTGCATAATTTTATTTCTATTATAATTCTTATTCCAACTAGGCTAACACTCAGACTGTATTTGGTTTAAAAGAATTCAGGTAAACATCAAGTAAAGGTTTTTCCAAATCAGATACAGTGATGCATGTCTGTAATCCCAGCTTCTTCACAGGGCTGAGGCAGGAAGATCACACGTTTGAGACCAGCCTTAGCAACTCAGTGAGATCCTGTCTCAAAATAAAAAATAAAATGAAAAGGGCTGGGAATGTAGCTCAGTAGTAGAATGCCCCGGGTTTAAAAAAAAAAAAAAATGTTTATAATATCTGCCCTCTTCTGCCCTTCCTTTACTCATTTTTTTAAAACCTTTCATGTCATGTTTAGCCTTGTTTTCCTCCTTCTTGCACTATTTCAGCTTCTTTCTACTTACTGTGTTTGCACTGGGAAATCAACACATTATATTACTATAGAGTATATTTTGATTCAGTATTGAATGAAAAGGGCATTCTTTCCTTTTCATATATTTTCATGTATTCTCAATTCTTTAGTCACTCTCCTAAAGTGATTTCCTCTCGTTTTTGGTATAATGATGTACATTGAATTAAACAGAAAGTACAAACTAACCTAAAGATAATTTATATCATCTATATTATTTGTAAATGAATACCTCTGCACCTTTCATATTTTTGTTAAATGAGAATAATGATCATCACTATTTGAAACATAAAATATTTGAGTCTGCCTATTGGCCAGGAATATTTGCCTCACTTCAGTGTTTAATGTATTCCTAGGAAGATGCCAAAAAGCTCTTGGGAGAAGGATACTTGAAATTATAGTACTAGATGTTAACCACCAGTAGTATTTGTTCAGGTCTTTGTTTTAATCTATTATATGAGAATACAGAGTCCACATTCAGTTATTAAAACCTGTGTGATTTCCTTTTCTTTTTCAGAAGATGAATAATCTTTCGTTTAGTGAGCTGTGTTGCCTCTTCTGCTGTCCTCCTTGCCCAGGGAAAATTGCTTCTAAACTAGCATTTTTGCCACCTGATCCAACTTACACACTGATGTGTGATGAAAGTGGAAGCCGCTGGACTTTACACCTCTCAGAACGAGCAGACTGGCAGTATTCTTCTAGAGAAAAAGATGCTATCGAATGTTTCATGACTGGAACCAGTAAAGGCAACAGAATTGCCTGTATGTTTGTGCGTTGCTCACCCAATGCCAAATATACTTTACTTTTTTCACATGGAAATGCTGTTGATCTTGGTCAGATGAGCAGCTTTTACATAGGACTGGGATCACGGATTAATTGTAATATATTCTCATATGATTATTCTGGATATGGTGCAAGTTCTGGGAAGCCAACAGAGAAGAACCTCTATGCAGATATTGAAGCTGCCTGGCTTAGTCTTAGGACAAGGTAAATTGTGACTGGGAATTGCTTTTTACACAATAGTTGGTTTTACTACATATTCCTTGAACTACCATATAAAGATTATATTTACCAATGTTAATAGTCCAACTTTTAGGTTTCAGTTTTAAATTTTATAGAATAACAAACTTTTTTATTTAAAGATAGCTCAGATTTGTATATGTATTAATGCAAGTATGTGTGAATTTTTAAAGTTAAATGCAACGATGAATATTTGGTTTTAAAAAACTTATTGGTGCATGATATACAAATAATTACTCAAAATTTCAGCATTTTAAGGAAATGAGAAAAAAAAACAGTAATTCAATATTATTTAAAGGTGAGATTTTACTTTACATTCTGGACTCCTAAACTTTGGAGAAATAATCTCAAGTTTTTGTAAATTATTTATTATCAATGCAGTTAGTGTACAATAAATAGATATCTAAGTTTTCTGATGTTATATACTGATAAGCTGCCTGACTTCCAGAGTATTGTACTAAAGAACTAAAACACAAAGAAAACTTACTATTTCTAATTTAATATTTAAAATATTAATGATGTCAAAGAACCTCCTCATTGTTTGTTAATAGGTGTAACTTTTTTAGAAATATAAAACTCTTTTTCAACTGTACTGATATTAGTTTCATTAGGCCTTAAATAAACAAAATACTACCCACTTTTCAAAGTCAACCATTGGAATATTATATTTCACAAAGTATTATAATCTTTTAAAATACTGAAATAATTGATGTGATTCATATAACAAAGATATACTTATAAAGTATAGCTTGATAATGTGGTTTTGGGAGAGTGGTTCAAATCCTTTTTGAATTAATTTTTATTGGTGTACCGTATACATACATATAAAATAGTGGAATTCATTTTTACACGTAGAAGTGGAATTTATTTTGTCATAGTTATATATGCACATAGCATGATTTGGTCAATTTCATCTATAATAATGATTTTAAAGGTGCAAAGGTAAAGTAGATAGCCTCTATTATTAGTGCTTAACATAGAAGGACAACTTTTTTGAAACAAAACATGAGTATATGTCTATCGAAAAATATTCCCTCTTTTGATTAGTCAGCTTTCTTTTTTCCTGTCAGATTTTGTGTTTGTTTTCTGGTAGTGGTGATTGAACCCAGGGGCATTCTACCACTGAGCCACATCTTCCGCCCTTTTACATTTTTTTAATTTTTGAGACAGGACTTGCTAAGTTATTGATGCTGGCCTTCAACTTGTCATCCTTCTGCTTCAGTCTCCTGAGTTGCTAGGATTACAAGCATGCACCACTGCACCTGGCCAGATACCAATTTGAAGTAAACTTTCTAAAATGATTGCCTGTCTTGAATAATTAATTTTAACACGTTTGATAACAAGTATTAATGAGGAACAAGTGCAGAATAAATTCTTAAATAATCCCACATACTGTTTGAGCTCTCCTGTATGATTTTTCATAACTAAGCCCAGTTGAAAGAGTTAGTAGTCTTGGGAAATTTATTCAACTCCTCTGAGTCTGTTTCCTCGTCTTTTTACTGAAAAAGTTGAGTGTAATGATCTCCAAAATTCTTTGTAGTTCTGAAAATCTATCCTCTAACAAAATGTATATAATTAGAATACATGCCATGTATTTCTTTTACCAGCCAAAAGTAAAATGTTAAGTAATCAGGAAGAGGGAAATAAATAAATGAACTTTTCAACTGGGAAAATAATCCCAGTTTCTGACCTTTTGATGGGTCAACAGAAAATAAAGGCCTGGTTTTCACCATTTAGCCTTCTCTCACAAATCTTGAGCTCTGCATGTGTGTGCTCTCGTGGAAAGAACACTGTACCAGGCAGGAATCAGTTTACCTGGGTTATAATTATAGGTCTATCATTAACTTTGAACATCTGCTCATTAAGCAACTCAACTAGATTAGATGGTCTCTAAAGTCCTTTCTAACTCATACTATTCTGAAATTGTTCATGCTTAATTAGGAGATGTCTCTGCTACTCTTGCCATTGCTCATTTGAGCCCACAACCTATAATTGCCACCAACAGTGCTTCTGTTCATCTGACAGCAGTAGTGCAATGTTAGGAGTTGTGCTGTGACTGCACACATTCTCTCTCCTAATATCTTCTTTTCTAAGGAGCATGTACAACTAGGTAAATTGTAAATAAAAAGGCATTTCTGAGTTGAGTGACATTTAGAGTCAGGTGTAGCTGGAAACCCCACTTCTGGGTCATATCACAGATGTTTATGGAAGAAACTATGTGGAGGTATGTCACTAACTGGATAATTCAAATAGTCTTGTGCTCCTGGAAGAGAACACATGGGTATTTAGCCTTGCTCTTTCCTGGTGAATGTTCAGATTCTCAGAAAGCTCCCTTACCTTTCCAAAAGACCAGATGGTGCTTGCTGGGCAAATGGCTCTTGGCTACCAGAAATGACTACTGTCTGCCTTGTAGGTGGAAAGACATATTTAAGGTCACTATAACCCTTCACCTTACATTCATTAGCTCCTGTATCACTTCACCTACAATTCAAGTAGTTTACAGTTGGGACAGTTATACTGTGGATAAATACAGTTCCTGGAACATAGTAGATAACCAATAAATATTTATTGAGTCAGTGAGTTCACATTTTTAGATCTGTAGCAGTGTTAAAAGGGGTAAAATACTCCTGAGACTTGTAGAATGAAGTCTGTTCATAATTAACCAAACCACATGGTGTTTGGAATTGTATTTTATCTGTTGATCTTTTCAATCATTAGTCTATTTTTACAGGTAAACAAACTTTAAGATAAATTGTAATTTGATTTTGACTAAAATTTTTATACTCATTCCAGACCATAACTATATGTAGCATTTTTATTCTCAGTATCTAGATAAATAAAGAACTTTTGTTAAGGTATTATATAGACAACAATTATAACATAAGGTATTCTATAGGACAACAATATGCCAGATTTGAATTAGTAGAGCTTAATAAGTGATTTAATAAATGTGTGTGGGTGGGGGCGGGGTACTGGGGATTGATCTCAAGGGCAATTAAATAAGCTGAGAATATAGATGAAATAAGCTGAGAATATAGAGCTTACTAAGTAGCATTAAAAATGATGGTGATAGGGCTGGAGGTATAGCTTAGTGATAGAGCACTTGTTAGCATGTGGAAGCCCTGGGTTCAATCCCCAACACTACAGAAAAAGAAAAAGTTAAAAAAAAAAACAACAACAACATGATGGTGATAACTAAGAAAGTTCAATTTTAAATATAAATTGATATTGTCTAATTTTTTCATTCTAATAGCAAATCTTTAGAGAATGATGGAACATTGCTTGTCCAACTTTTAACTTTTGAATTTTATAGATATGGCATTCGTCCTGAAAATGTGATCATATATGGCCAAAGTATAGGTACAGTACCATCTGTGGATCTTGCTGCTCGGTATGAGAGTGCTGCTGTTATTCTTCATTCTCCTTTGACCTCTGGAATGAGAGTTGCTTTTCCTGATACAAAGAAGACCTACTGTTTTGATGCATTCCCAAAGTAAGTGGCAATATTCAAAATAGTTCAATTCCAAGATGCATTTAAGGGAATTTTTTTTTCTTTCATAGCATGCATTGATGATACAGTTTATTCAGCCATAAACTGTTTTACATCACATAGAAATTATGAAGGGTTGTGGCTCAGTGGTAGAGTGTTTGCCTAGCACATGTGAGGCACTGGGTTCTATTCTCAGCATTACATGTAAATGAATGAATAAAATAAAGTTCCATCAATATCTTAAAAAATTAAATAAAAAAGAAAAAGAAATTGTGAAAAACTAATGTGAAAAGGATATTGGCAGGTGACCAGTAAGGAGGCTGAAATGTTTGAGTAATAGTAATCTACATAAGAAGTACGTACCAAGGAGGGCCTTGTACCCTGGGTAATGGCAGTAGTATTGCAGAGAAGGGAAATGACAGAACTGAGTAAGACTCTAAAGTTTCTGCCTTGAGCTGCCAACATATGATGATGCCATTGAGTAAGATAAAAAAAAAAAAAACCTGGAGAAGACTAGGTAGAAGGAAATATGAGTGAATAATTTCTAGTTAATGACACCTAATTTACAAAAAAAGGTTGAGTCTTAAATGAGCTAGAATAAGTATTATCATCACAAAATTTGCAAACATACAGTATTAAATGGATTGAAAGAAAGGCAGCTTCTTCATGTTCCTCGAGATAAGCAGATGTTCTCTTCTGCTTCTCTTCATAGTTAGAAAAATCTATGTCCTGTTTTACTCAGAGGGGAGAAAGACAAAAAGGAAGAAACTGGCAAATTTCAGTCTTCTTTCTTTTCTTGGCAGCAACACAAAAGATTTTTTTTTTTTTTTTTGTGAGTGACAGGCCAAAAGCCAATCTATCCTTTGGTTCTTTAGAAGAACTATGGAGGTTATTTCAAAGCATAAATCTTTTTATGTTGGCCAGAATGTGATCATTTTAATAGGGAAGCTTATGGGAGCATGTGATCTTATCATTCAAGCAGGCTGTGGGAGGTAGGGGGGAAGGGATTTTGTTTTGTTAAATTTTTATTTTGCTTTATTTTTGTGATGCTGGAACCCCGGACCTCTTGCATGTTAAGTAAGCACTCTACCACTGTGGCTTTTTAATTGTTTTTGGTTTAGTTTTGTTTTAGGTATATACATTATGCAACTTCTGTTTAGCTGAATGGTAGTAATGAATGTAGGGAAGTGATGGCATCTATACCATTGCCATCTTATATTTCTGTCTAGCTCCCGTTTTTACTTCACATGAGCAGAAATAGCATTGGTTGTAAATTATTTTAAAACAGTTTGTTTTTTAAAGTTTTAATTCCTTTATAGTTAAAACATCTTTCTGATAAAAAATAATACAAGAATTTTTCTTAGCAAATTCAGCCTTGAATTATTTCACTGATTAATTTCTTTCTTTGCAAGATTTTTTTTTTAATTGAATTAGGGATTGAATTCAAGGGTGCTTTACCACTGAGCTACATCCTCAGCTCTTTTAATTAATAATGATGATGATGATGATGATGATGATGATGATGATGATGATTTTTGAGGCAGGGTCTCACTAAGTTGCTTAGGTCCTCTCTAAAATGCAAAGCTGGCCTCAAACTTGCAGTCCTCCTATCTCAGCTTCTCAAGCCACTGTAATTATAAGCATGTATCACTGTGTCTGGTGATTTTCTTTTTTTAAGGCTGTAATGTTATCTTTCTCTCTCTCAAAAGTTCTTGAAAAACCTTTTTCTTTATAAGGTTTCTTCTCTTTCTGACTGACTCCTCTAAGTTGTCTTTTGAAAATTCTGTTTATTTTGATCTCTATCTTATATTTGAGGTATTCTCTTCCAATATCTAATAATTCTTGGCTGTGTCTGCTCATATATACGAGTGTAAAACTAAAGAACTAATCTAATCTAGTCAATAAAGAAAGCTCTTTTTAAAATTGCCCTTGGGTGCTGGGGATGTGGCTCAAGTGGTAGCGCGCTTGCCTGGCATGCGTGTGGCCTGGGTTCGATCCTCAGCACCACATACGAACGAAGATGTTGTGTCCGCCGAAAAACTAAGAAATAAATATTAAAAAAAAAAATTCTCTTTCTTAAAAAAAAAAAAAAAGAAGCCCCTTGGGCGGTGAAGGCCTAGCTTCCAGTATTCTTGGAAACCAAGTAGGGTTCATAATAGCCAGAATATATGAGTATTCTGTAACTGATACCTCTACCTTAAACTCTGACAATTCTGAGTTCACAGAACCTTCAGTCTTGGGGGAAGGTGGCTTACCACCTAGCTGCAATTGAGAGGTAAAGGGGACCTATGAAAGAGGAGGATATGTTTTAACAGACTGAACAAATTCTCTATATTCTAATCCCCCACCTTTATCTCCATAGCAAATTCCTTAGCCTTCTTTGTTACAAATTGGGTTGCTTCTTCACTTTACCCTTCTGTCTGCTTAAAGTTGTATTTGCTTTCTCCTATCCTTTTAATCAGTTCTCTCTCACATTCACTTATTTTCTAGCTTTAAAATTTTGGTGCATTAACATTCTTCCTATCTTTGTTTGTTTATTCCCTCAAAATAAGAACAAAACCCAAAATGTTTTGTTGTGATTTTAGTATGAAATTAGGAGGGAGAATATGAGTGCAGAAGGAGATAAAATTGGCACATACTTGAAATTGTTCTTAATTTCTGTCTTTGAAAGCTTAAGTTTTCCTGAGTTTAAAAACAAAAATCAGTATTTTAGAACAGTGAAAAAGGATGACAGCATTGAATGACTCCACCAAAGCAGAAGTACATGAAGGTCACTTTCCTCAGTTAGACTTAATATAAAAGGCAACTTTTGAATCTTAAAATCTGATTTAATCTTAGAGATCAAATATTTAAATTTTCTGTTATAGCACAAGAAAATTTCTTTCTTTTTACATAGCCATATTATTGAGTCTTCTTACCCCCCTCTCTTTCCCCTACAGCATTGACAAAATCTCTAAGATAACCTCTCCAGTATTAATAATTCATGGGACTGAAGATGAAGTTATTGACTTTTCACATGGCCTCGCATTATTTGAGCGTTGCCAAAGACCTGTGGAGCCTCTGTGGGTTGAAGGAGCAGGACATAATGATGTGGAACTTTATGGACAGTACCTTGAAAGGTTGAAACAGTTTGTGTCACAGGAACTGGTAAATTTGTAAAATATTCTGTAAATTTGCATACTGGATTTTCTTTTCTTGCTGAACTGCACTCTTTGGTAAATAATATAAAACCTGAAGGTTTTGTTTACAAATCATGTCAGTTGCCTTCAAAAATGTACAGGTAATGATTTGTTAACAGACTTAATGAAGGTTTTAATTACCAGAAATAGAAACTGGAAATAACAGTATCATGCAGTCAGGCTGTGTAATTTATATTTTTTCTGTGAATTTTTTTTAAACATAAAGATGAGTACTGTATGAAATTTTAATTAGTTCTATAAAATCAAATGCTGTAAAAGTATTGCCAAATGCTTTTGCATATCAGAAACAAATTTATAAATATTTTTAAAACATCTCAATGTACTAAACCTTATCCTGATATACAAATGATGTAATATTCTTTAAAAAAGCTGTATATCTAAAGCAATTCAAGTACTCATAATAGAATAAACTGTAAAAATAAAATTTTAAAACATCAAGTTAAATAGGGTTCATCTAACCCTGTTGTACAGGGATAGGAGCTTAAATGGCTATTTTATTGTAAAATACATTGAATTTTCTGTATTCTCGTTATAATACATTTATCCTAAAAATGAAGTAAGTCTTAATTTTTATGCCATCTGTTAATTTACCAATTAGTTACCTTGTAAATGCAGTCATAGTGGCACTGAATTTTAACTAGTTTGGATTTATAAGTTTGATACTGTGAGGCAACTACTTAAATTTTATTTAGTTACCTAAAAGGCATTTAGGGTTTCAAGACTGATTTGTAATGCAACGTTGTTTTCAAATTTTGACTAATCTTGTAGAATTGTAGTACTACTCTTCATTGTATGAAAACCTGAAAGTCCATTAGTTGTTCTTCAATACCACAAACAGACTGGCTATTTGGACTTTTTTCACTTTGGCTATTTTTAAGAATAGGACCCACTCATTTGGGTTACTATCTAAGAATTTCATGGATTTACTCCTGTATGCAGGAGGTAATAAAACATTTAATTCATAAGTTTTATATTAACCAGTATAGTAAAAAATAAAGCTCACACACAAAAACTAAGTTGCCTTTCCTTGAATGAATCCTGCCTGAATAAAACAATGAAAGAAAAATAAAAATAAAATTAACGGTATGTAGTCTAATTTGTAAATGAATGAATATTGAAATAATACACACTGTGGATATCTTTTAAGGCCTTATGTAGTTTTAATTGTTCTGCTTGTTCTGTGGTTATGTCTAAGACTATAGTATATGATTCTCTACAACGTATATCAAGTATTGTGAATGCTTTGGTTCAGATGTGTCAAATTAACAGTAAAACCACAAATATACCACTCAGCTGTGCTTGTTTGCCTTCTTCCATCCTCCTTACTCCTACACAAGAGTGAAAAATGCCCATTCACCTTTATAAGACTCAGTTTTGAAATTTTCTGAGTTTTTTATTAACATCTATTATTTGTACATATTAGTAGGATTCAGTATGATATTTCCATACGTGTATATAGCATGTACTGATAAATCACCTTACTTCTTCCACTCCTTCCTGCCCCTGTCTCCAATAATCACTAGTCTATTTTCACGTCAAATTTTTTAGCTTCAGCATATGAGAGAGACAATGGCAGTGTCTGGCTTATTTCACTTAACATAATGTCTTACAGTTTTATCCATTTTGCTGCAAATAACAGGATTTCATTCTTTATGTCCAAATAATGTGTGTGTGCACATATATGAAGTATATAAAAAACACATTTTCTTTATCCATTCATGTGTGCATTGGGCATCTAGGCTGATTCTGTATCTTGGCTATTATGAATAGTACTACAATAAGCAAAGGGCATCCCAGGGTTCTTTTTGGTATGCTAATTTCATTTCTTTGGGCTTTATACCCAGAAGTGGGGATAACTAGATCATATGGTAGGTCTGATTTTAGTTTTTTGAGGAACTTTCTTACTCTTCTGCTTAATGGCTGAATTAATTTACATTACTGTCAACAATGTGTAGGAGTTCCTTTATCTTCTCACTAATATTTGGGGGTTTTTTTGTTGTTGTGTTGTGTTTTGTTTTGTTATTTGTTTATTTATATTTTTGTTTATATTGTTCTTTTGTTTCTTTTTAATATCCTTTCTAACTGGGGTGATATGGTGTCATTGTAGGTTTCATTTGCATTTCCCTGATGACTAATGAAACTGAGCATTTTTTCCATCTATTTCTGTGGATTGTTTCTTCAATTTTGTTTCCTGTGCTTTGTGGGGTTCAAGCCAAAAAATCATTGCCTATGCCAGTGTCTTGAAATGTTTCCACTTCCAGTAGTTTCAGGGTCCTATATTTAGGTTTATATTTTGATCTGTCTTGGGTTTATTTTTGTCTAGAGTGGGAGATAGGGTTCAAGTTTCAGTCTTCCACACATGGGTATCCAGTTTTCCCAGCACTATTTATTGAAGAGGCACCCTGGTGCCTAGCTCTTTTGATTTCTTTGATGACCCATTGTTTATTCAAACAATGAGTTGTTCAGTCTCCATGTATTTGTATAATTTCTGAAGTTTTTCTTATTGATATCAGTTTCATTGAATTATTATCTAGTTTCATTCCTTTGTTTTCAGAAATGATGTAGAATATGATTTCAATTTTTTTGAATTTTTTAAGACTGTGTCCTAATATATTTCCTATTCTAGAGAAAATTCAGTGCACTCATGGAAAGAATTTTTTTGCACTAGTTGGATGGACTGTTCTGTACATGTTTAGTTTATTTGATCTCTTGTGTTTTGTTGTTGTTTGGCACTGGGGATTGAACCCAGGGGTGCTACTGACTCAAATCCCCAGCCCTTTTTCTTTTCTTTTTCTTTCTTTCTTTTTTTTGGGGGGGGGGTCTAAATGATTTGTCCATTGATGAAAGCGGGATGTCTTAAAGGTCCCCCATTATTGTTTTGAAACACATTTCTCCCTTTTTGTCTAATAGTGTTTTATAAAATTGGGTGCTCTGACATTAAATGTATATAGATTTACAATAATCATCTCTATTATTGAATTGTTCCCTTACCCATTTTAAAAGTTAACCTTCTTTGTCCCTTCTTACAAATTTTATCTCAAAAGTCTATTTTGTAGTGATCATGCTACTTAGTATTTGCTCATTCATTAACAATTATTGAATGTCTAAGCCATACAAAACCCTTGCTTGCCAGCACCATAAAATAGAGTATAAGTGGGAAAAGAAGTAGTAGTAGAGATTTTTGCTTGTTAGAAATAACATATAGAGCCTGGGGTTGTGACTCAGTGGTAGAGCCCTTGCCTAGTATGTATGAGGCATTGGGTTCGATTCTCAGTACCACATATAAGTAAATAAATGAAATAAAGGTCCATCAACAACTTAAAAAAAATATTTTAAAGAAAAGTAATAACATATAAGTCATTTGTTTAGAAACTGATTTAATTTAGGGTTGTAAAAATACATTATGAGGAAATAATATGAACAGTGATAGACAAATCATATTGCAGCATTAATGTAATTTTAAGATGCTGTGAAAGAATGATCACAAATTAGAGAAAATCCTGAAGTGTTTTACCAAGTCAAAATCCCAAAGGCTTTGAAGGATGACTGAGGAAGCTAACTATACTCAAATATTTGAGAGAAATTTACACTTTATTCTTTTTTTTTTTTTTTAATTTTTTATTGTTGGTTGTTCAAAACATTACAAATTTCTTGACATATCATATTCCACACTTTGATTCAAGTGGGTTATGAACTCCCACCTTCACCCCATACACAGATTGCAGAATCACATCAGTTACACCTCCATTGATTTACATATTGCCATACTAGTGTCTGTTGTGATCCGCTGCCTTTCCCATCCTCCACCATCCCCCTCCCCACCTCTCCCCTCCCCTCCCCTCCTCTCTCTCTACCCCCTCCACTGTATAACCCTGAGGGTCTCCTTCCATTTCCATGCAATTTCCCTTCTCTCTCCCTTTCCCTCCCACCTCTCATCCCTGTTAAATGTTAATCTTCTTCTCCTGCTCTTCCTCCCTACTCTGATCTTAGTTACTCTCTTTATATCAAAGAAGACATTTGGCATTTGTTTTTTAGGGATTGGCTAGCTTCACTTAGCATAATCTGCTCTAATGCCATCCATTTCCCTGCAAATTCTATGATTTTGTCATTTTTTAATGCAGAGTAATACTCCATTGTGTATAAATGCCACATTTTTTTTTATCCATTCGTCTATTGAAGGGCATCTAGGTTGGTTCCACAGCCTTGCTATTGTGAATTGTGCTGCTATGAACATCGATGTAGCAGTGTCCCTGTAGCATGCTCTTTTTAGGTCTTTAGGGAATAGACCAAGAAGGGGAATAGCTGGGTCAAATGGTGGCTCCATTCCCAGCTTTCCAAGAAATCTCCATACTGCTTTCCAAATTGGCTGCACCAATCTGCAGTCCCACCAGCAATGTACAAGTGTACCCTTTTCCCCACATCCTCGCCAGCACTTGTTGTTGTTTGACTTCATTACACTTTATTCTTTTGGATCTCAGTGGAACTAGGTGAAAGTTACAAAATGGCAGATGAGACTACAGTTTAAGGAAGACTTTGCTGGGCATGGTGGCATACTCAGCAACTCGGGAGGAAGTGCCCTGGTGCAAGCTGAGTACCAAAAGAAAAACTGATTATTATTTGTCCACCAAAGAGGAGGATTGTCCTCCTGAGAGTTAACAAGTATCTTACCACCAGAAATACAGCAGAAGCTGAAGGGCATCCTTTATTCATGCCTCAGAAGAAATTCCAGATTTATGTGGGACATTGAACTAGATGTGCTACATGTAAGTTCTTTAATATTTTATATTGCATTCAGATTTCCTCTACATATTCCTCAGAGGATCATTTGCCCAGTGCTTTCTGGAAGATAGTATGATGTAGAAGAATTAAGTTGACACTCAGGTCTAGAGCAATATACTTTTGAACTATAAAACAGCATAAATTTATTTGCTCTCCAATTTTATATTTGCTCCAAGATTCTTCCATATCAGCTATTTTTTTTTTTAATGAATGGTAAATTGGTGGGTTGTGCCTTTGCAATTCTTAAATTAGTGATTTGTGTGTTTAAGGTAATTGTTTTTATTAGGTACAGTGACAGCTATTTAGTTGTGTTAAAATCTATTAAGAATGATGACCATGGTCGCATGAATAGTGTTTATTTCAGCAGCCTGTTTAGTGTAAGAGCTGAGAATTTAAGCAATTACATTGAAAAATATATCAAAGTAGTTATTACTAAGTGGATATATTTTGTTATGTTGATTTAAGCAATATACTTAAATATCATGATAGCATACTGCATTCTAATAAAGTATACTCCAGATGTTCGGTAACAATTTATACATATGATACTCATTATTCTCAGAATTTACAGAAGGGAGAAAGAAGGTATTTATCCGATTTTTAAATGGATTTTTCCTCTGAAGGAAGCAAACACCTTTATGCTGGAAATGACCCACTTGATATTAGCATTAAAAAATAATAAATGAAAAGGAAATGGGAAGTATAGAGTCTTTACAAATGTCATTGAGCTGAAAGCTATTAAAATGGTTCTTCAATAAGAAGCGAGGTGGACTTAATTGTTTTGTTTTGTATTCCTCTATTTCTTGTAGACCATGTATTGAATGTGTATGGTACAATTTAACATTTCTCATAAAGAGTTTTTATTAGTATGTTTCAAGAACAGCATTCTTATATTGGAAAAATAGAGGGAAATGTTGTTTTTAATAAGTCACATTTTATCTGATAAAATGCAAATTTCATCTATCTTACTACTTTACCCAGAATTGAAAAAATTTCCAAAGTAACTGCTTACAGCAGTATATGGTATAGAGGAAGGGAGAGTAGCAGGGAGGTATGTGGATATAGTGGAATCTGAATTAAAATTTTTAAATGTACCATTCATTTCCAAAATCCCTATGGAATATGGTAGGTTATTTAAATGCCTAACAACTCTGGTAAAAGTCAAAGGCCATCAATTTTACTTCATGAGAGTTTGCTCCTTTTGAGGCTGTCTGAACTTTCTATGTCTAGACAAAAGAATGGAAAGGAGGGAGACAGAGAGAGGAAATTAGCCTATATATATATCTGAATATATGTGATGTTATCAAGAATATAATTAGCCACACGTGTTGGTACAAGACTGATCCTAGGCTAAGGCGGAGGCTTGCAAGTTTAAGGTCAGCCTGGCCAAATTAGTGACACCCTGCCTCAAAATAAAGGACTAGGGAGTTAGTTTAGTGGTAGAGCATTCCTGAATTTAATCCCAGTACTGCCAAAGAGGAGTGGGAAGAGTCTTTGGCCTCCCCAATACCTA